GGAATGAAAGAATATTAAGAGAACTGGGTGACCAATCCAAATGGAACAATATTCACATAATAGGGGTACCAGAAGAAGAAGAGAGAGAAAAAGTGATAGAAAATGTCTTTGAAGAAATAATTGATGAAAAGTTCCCCAAACTGGGGGAGGAAATACTCTCTCAGATGATGAAAGCCCATAGATCTCCCAACACAAGGGACCCAATGAGGACAACACCAAGACATATAATAATTAAAATAGCAAGGATCAAAGACAAGGACAGGGTATTAAAAGCAGCCAGAGAGAGAAAAAAGATCACCTATAAAGGAAAACCCATCAGGCTATCATCAGACTTTTCAGCAGAAACCTTACAGGCCACAAGAGAATGGCATGATATATTTAATGCAATGAAACAGAAGAGCTTTGAACCAAGAATACTATATCCAGCAAGATTATCATTTAAATTTGAAGGAGGGATTAAACAATTTCCAGATAAGCAAAAGTTGAGGGAATTTACATCCTATAAACCATCTCTACAGGGTATTTTAAAGGAATTGCTCTAGATGGAAATATCCTAAGGCTAAATAGATGTCACCAGAGAAAATAAAATCACAGCAAAAAGAGCAGACCAACCAAATACTAACTAAAGGCAAAGAATAAAATCAGCTATCCAGAAAAATCAGTCAAGGGAAACACAAAAGAGTGCAGCATGAAACACCTAACATATAAAGAGTAGAGAAGGAGGAATAAGAAGGGAGAGAAATAAAGAATAATCACACTGTGTTTATAATAGCATAATAAGTTAGTTGAAGTTAGACAGTTAGATAGTAAAGAAGCTACCCTTGAACCTTTGGTAAACAAGAATTCAAAGTCTGCAATGGCAATAAGTACATATCTATTGATAATCACCCTAAATGTAAATGGACTGAATGCCCCTATTAAAAGATGCAGAGTAATAGAATGGATAAAAAAGCAAGACCCATCTATATGCTGCTTACAAGAGACTCATCTCAAACCCAAAGACATGCACAGACTGAAAGTGAAGGGATGGAAAAAGATAATTCATGCAAACAATAGAGAGAAAAAAGCAGGTGTTGCAGTGCTAGTATCAGACAAAATAGACTCAAAACAAAGAAAGTAACAAGAGATAAAGAAGGACATTACATAATGATAAAGGGCTCGGTCCAACAAGAGGATATAACCATTACAAATATCTATGCACCCAATACAGGAGCACCAACATATGTGAAACAAATACTAACAGAATTAAAGGAGGGAATAGAATGCAATGCATTCATTCTAGGAGACATCAACACACCACTCACTACAAAGGACTGATCCACCAGACAGAAAATAGTAAGGACACAGAGGCACTGAATAACACACTAGAACAGATGGACCTAATAGACATCTAGAGAACTCTACATCCAAAAGCAACAGGATACACATTCTTCTCAAGTGCACGTGGAACATTTTCCAGAATAGACCACATACTAGGCCACAAAAAGAGCCTCTGTAAATTGAAAAACACTGAAATTTTACCAACCAACTTCTCAGAACACAAAGGTATAAAACTAGAAATAAATTGTACAAAGAAAATGAAAAGGCTCACAAATACATGGAGGCTTAAGCTCCTAAATAATCAATGGATGAATGACCAAATTAAAACAGAGATCAAGCAATATATGGAGACAAATGAAAACAACAGCACAATGTCCCACTTCTTGTGGGATGCAGCAAAGGCTGTTCTAAGAGGAAAGTATATAGCAATCAGGCCTATTTAAAGAAGGAAGAACAATCCCAAATGAATAGTCTGAAGTCACAATTATAGAACCTGGAAAATGAGGCCCAAAGATAGTAGACGGAGGGACATAATAAAGATCAGAGAAGAATTAAATAATACTGAGAATAAAACAATAGAAAAAATCAGTGAAACGAAGAGCTGATTCTTTGAGAAAATAAAATAGATAAAACCCTAGTGAGACTTATTAAGAGAAAAAGAGAATCTACACAGAAAAACAGAATCAGGAATGAGAAAGGAAAATTCACGACAGACCCCACAGAAATACAAAGAATTATTAGAGAATACTATGAAAATCTGTAGGCTAACAAACTAGATAAGCTAGAAGAAATGGACAACTTTTTGGAAAAATACAACCTTCCAAGACTGACAAGGAAGAAACAAAAAATCTAAATAGACCAATTACGAGCAATGAAATTCAATCCGTAATTAAAAAACTACCCAAGAACAAAACCGCTGGGCAAGATGGATTCACTGCTGGATTTCATAAAAAATTTAGAGAAGACATAATACCCATTCTCCTTAAAGTTTTCCAAAAAATAGAAGAGGAGGGAATACTTCCAAACTCACTCTATGAAGCCAGCATAACTCTAATACCAAAACCAGGTAAAGAACACCACAAGAAAAGAAAATTACAGACCAATATCCCTCATGAACATAGATGCAAAAATACTCAACAAAATATTAGCAAACTGAATTCAAAAATACATCATGAGGATCATACACCACGATCAAGAGGGATTCATCTCAGGGAATCAAGGATGGTACAACATTCAAAAATCCATGAACATCATCCACCACACCAACAAAAAAGGGAAGGACAAAAACCACATGATCATCTCCATAGATGCTGAAAAAGCATTTGACAAAATTCAACATCCATTCATGATTAAAACTCAACAAAATGGGTATAGAGGGCAAGTACCTCAACATAATGTAGGTCATATATGACAAACCCACAACCTACATCATACTTAACAGTGAGAAGCTGAAAGCTTTTCACCTAAGATCAGGAACAAGACAGGGATGCCCACTCTCACCACTTTTATTCAACATAGTACTGGAGGTCCTAGCCATGGCAATCAGACAACACAAAGAAATAAAAGGCATCCAGATTGGTAAGAAAGAAGTCAAATGGTCACTATTTACAGATGACATGATATTGTACATAAAAAACCCTAAAGACTCCATTCCAAAACTACTAGAACTAATATCTGAATTCAGGAAAGTTGCAGGATACAAAATTAATACACAGAAATCTGTTGGATTCCTATACACTAACAATGAACTAGCAGAAAAAGAAATCAGGAAAACAATTCCATTCACAATTGCATCAAAAAGAATAAAATACCTAGGAATAAACCTAACCAAGAAAGTGAAAGACCTATACCCTGAAAACCGCAAGACACTCTTAAGAGAAATTAAAGAGGACACTAACAAATGGAAATTCATCCCATGCTCTTGGGTAGAAACAATATTCTCAAAATGGCCATCTTGCCTAAAGCAATCTACAGATTCAATGCAATCCTTATCAAAATACCAATAGCATTCTTCAATGAACTTGAACAAATAGTTCTAGAATTCATATGGAACCACAAAAGACCCCAAATATCCAAAGCAATCCTGAGAAGGAAGAATAAAGGAGGGGGGATCTTGCTTCCCAACTTCAAGCTCTATTACAAAGCCACAGTAATCAAAACAATTTGGTACTGGTACAAAGAATAGACCTATAGACCAGTGGAACAGAATAGAGTCCAGATATTAACCCAAACACATATGGTCAATTAATATATGATAAAGGAGCCATGGATATACAATGGGGAAATGACAGCCTCTTCAACAGCTGGTGTTGGCAAAACTGGACAGCTACATATAAGAGAATGAAACTGGATCATTGTCTAACCCCATACACAAAAGTAAACTCGAAATGGATCAAAGACCTGAATGTAAGTCATAAAACCATAAAACTCTTAGAAAAAAACATAGGCAAAATTCTCTTGGATATAAACATGAGCGACTTCTTCATGAACATATCTCCCCGGGCAAGGGAAACAAAAGCAAAAATGAACAAGTGGAACTATATTAAGCTGAAAAGCTTCTGTACAGCAAAGGACACCATCAGCAGAACAAAAAGGCATCCTACAGTATGGGAGAATATATTCATAAATGACATATCCAATAAAGGGCTGACATCCAAAATATATAAAAAGCTCATGGGCCTCAACAAACAAAAAGCAAATAATCCAATTAAAAAATGGGCAGAAGATCTGAACAGACACTTTTCCAAAGAAGGCCAACAGGCACATGAAAAGATGCTCCACATTGCTAATCATTAGAGAAATGCAAATTAAAACCACAGTGAGATTTCACCTCACATCAGTTAGAATGGTCACTATCCAAAAGACAAACAACAACATATGCTGGCAAGGATGTGAAGAAAGGGGAACTCTCCTACACTGCTGGTGGGAATGTAAATTAGTTCAACCATTGTGGAAAGCAGTATGGAGGTTCCTCAAAACAATCAAAATAGAAATACCGTTTGACCCAGGAATTCTACTCCTAGGAATTTACCCTAAGAATGCAGCATCCCAGTTGGAAAAAGACATATGCACCCCTATGTTTATCACAGCACTATTTACAATAGCCAAGAAATGGAAGCAATGTAGGTGTTCATCAGTAGATGAATGGATAAAGAAGAGATGGCATATATACACAATGGAATATTATTCAGCCATAAGAAGAAAACAAGTCCTACCATTTGCAACAACATGGATGGAGCTAGAGGGTAGTATGCTCAGTGAAATAAGCCAGGCAGAGAAAGACAAGTACCAAATGATTTCACTCATCTGTGGAGTATAAGAACAAAGAAAAACTTAAGGAACAAAACAGCCGCAGACTCACAGAACCCAAGAATGGAGTAACAGTTACCAAAGGGAAAGGGACTGTGGAGGGTGAGTGGGAAGGGAGGGATACGGGGAAAATATGGGCATTACAATTAGCAGACATAATGTAGGGGGGGTGCATGAGGAAGTCAGTATAGCACAGAGAAGACAAGTAGTGACTATAGCATCTTATGACGCTGATCGACAGTGACTGTAATGGGGTATGTGGTGGGGACTTGATAATGGGGGAGTCTCATAACCATAATGTTGCTCATGTAATTGTACATTAATGATACAAAAATAAAAAAAATAAAAGATTTAACAGATAACATCAACTTAAATGACTTTAAGTAAACCTAGGCAGAATAAAAGTTTTCATATTCATGCTTGATAACCATAAACAAATAAATAAATAAATAAAACATTAGACATCATAATTAGGTTTCCTTCCTCCTCGAATGTATGGATATTTAAGTTGCATCTTGAGGGCTTATTAATGTCCCTGTAATAGGTAGTTTGCCAATGTGTCCTGCTGCTGCTTCATAAACTCATAGAATACAGAGTGTCATGAAAAAAAAAGTAGTAACCACCTAGGAGGTTACCTAGCCTTGTCCAAGTCTGCCCGATGCAGGGACTGCCCTCCAGAGCTCACTCCTTCACTCAGCCAATGCGTGCTCAGTGCTCACTATGTCGCAGGGCCTATGTGCGGCATCCAGGTCAGACGTTGCCCTGGGGCACAGAGCTGACCCTAGGGAGGGAGAGACATGCTGCAGATGAGTTCCAATAATTACATGTGGTGATGTATGCAGGCAGCATGCAGGGGGCTGGGACAAAGACCACTGCGAGGGACCTAACTTATGAGGCTGCTCTGAGGAATGACACTGAAACAGAGACCTGCAGGGCAGCAAAGGGCATTCCAGGAGGCCTGAGTGGTAGCATAGCTGGAATGGGGAAAATGTGGAGGAAGGCCTCCAGGACCCAAGTAAGGAATACAGGGCATGCAACTTGGGTAAGGCTGGAGGGGGTCAGGCCTCCAAGCACTGGCCTTGCAAAGCAAGCCCAGGCATTTAGATTTTATTCAAAGAGATGAGAAGCCACTGAGCAGTTTAAGGAAGTAACACTGTATCTAATTTCTTAAGTTCAGTTTGTAACTAAATTCACACTAATTTACGAATTTCTGAGACCAGATAATTAATAGAATGAAGGGAAAACACTAAAATGTTGATAGTCATTTTTGGAAGATGGGATAAAGGGTTGTTTTCTCCTCCTGATATTTTAAATATTTTGCTAGCTTTTCTTAAAAGAAACATTTACTACTTTTAAAATTCGAAGCCCCTCCACATTCTTCTGTAAAAATAGGTGTGAAGCCAAATTTCAGTTGCCAATGATATAAATGTATTTGTATGTAATATCTATTCTAAATCTGTAAAATTTAAAGCAAAGTGGTTCTAAATTGCCAGTGGAAAAACATAATTTTTTTTTCTCTCTTCAGTAAGGGAGAAATTTTTCTGAGGAGAATTTACTTATCAACACAGTCACTGAAATACATTTCTTCAGCACCCTGTATGTAGGATGCTATCCAAAGGCTAACAGATATTCTTGAGTTCAAATAGTAGGCTTCGGTTATGTGTCTTCTGGTCTGACTCTAGCTTGTTCCTAAACTCTCCCCTATTCTAGAAATAACTTATGAATATAGTCCAAGGCTAAACTATCTACCATGGGAAGTAGCACCTTCTTCTTGCAGTCCTCCTGACTTGCATCCTCTGACCACTAGCTAGGTATATTTTTAAGTCTTTGTGAAGAAGGCTTACCTCACCCATAACAAAAAAGTGGGTCAATTTTTCTCCACCCTTCCTAACAGGTTATTCACCTGTGTTGCATGCATTAATCTTACAAGTGCAAAATAAGCAATTTTCTGGAAATAAGGACACCTTTGATTCAAAATGCAAATATATACAACATTTCCCAGCTCATCTAAAAATGGCAACTTTATTATACAAGATCCTGAGGGGCTATTTAGAGAGTTATGTGCTCCCTACACTTGAAGGATTTCAACTTAAAATGGGAACACAAAACTGAAACAGAAAATCTTCTGGAAGGCTTAATAGAGGGTAGGAAACAAAATAGTTGTAAGGTCTGAGTCAAATGATGAAAAACCTGCTCATCTTGGTCAAACTGGAAACTTTAGAAATTCTCCATGTGTATAATAGTGTGGATAGATGTACATGCGCTCAGCTTTTTTCCTGTCCTGAGTGAGGAGAGTGGGGAGAAGCACCCCAGGGTGCAGATGGGGCAGGCTGGGAGACTGAGCCAGCAGAGGCCACTTGTCCTTTGACCAGAACACTGCCACATTTTCATGTTTTATCCATTGCAGTTCTGCTCCAGATATCATTTCAAAAAAGTCTTCTCAGCTTATAAATTTTCAAAGTTTAAAGACCCTTTGTGATGTACATAATGATGGAGTCTACTGTTCATAGTTACCACGGTGGTCTAGACACAGGGCTAAGCATACTACACATTTCATGGAAACAATCCTGAAAACAACCACATGAGGTAGGTCTTTAGTACTGCCACCTCACAGATGGGGAAACGGGTCCTGAAAGGATAGGGAATTTGTATCACAAACACAGCGGTTGAGTAGCAGGGCCAGGGCTCAAACTCAAGTTTGTCTGCTCCCAAGCCCATCCTTTCTACCATCGTGCCAAATTGCAGTGACATTTACTGCTCAAAGTGCAGATATTCACAGGCACTGAAATAGTATGCCATGACTCCAAAACACATACATGTGTGTGTGTGTATATATATATAAAATAAGTACAATATATATACTGTATATATAATATATATAATTCATAATAAGTATGTGTGTGTATATATATATACACACACAATAAGTACAATACATTCACAAAGGTGTGTTTTTAGTGGTGCACACTGCCTAGATGTTGCCTTAATGAAAGGTTTTAATAGCTTAAGAAACAAGTTTTGGTTGCAAAGGATGGAGAAATGCTTCCAGACCAAGAGAATTAGACTGACAAAGCCTTCCTGCAAAGATCTGTGGCTTTGAGTAGAAGCTGTGTGGAGGAGGAGGTGACCTCTTCTTGGCCTTCCCACACCCAAAATCTTTTCATTAAAGAATATTTTGAAACTTGTAATAACAACAAAGTACTGGGAAGTACTGCTGCGATTTGGAGCCTGACACAGCCTTATAGGGTCTGCAGGAATGTTGTCAGCAATGAGACAGACAGGTGGTCCTTCTGGATAAACTGCTGGCAAGGAGGAAAAAAAAAACCCAGCAACAAGGAGCGCGGTCAGGGAGGTCACCCCTGTGTCGGCCTGATTCTTTAAACAGCATTGCTGTGGCCATGTTTGTTCGAGGCTGCTCAGATGAACCTTACCTCCAGGTGAGGGGAATGGAGTATTTTCCCCTGCTTTAAATGGTAAAATTCAAATTCTTCAAGGTTTTTTTTGTTTTCTTTTTTCTAGCAGAGCCATTTTTCTCTTCTGGGAAGTTGTCAAAATATGTGTTTTTAACTTTAAAGAAAAACAGAACTGAAATGGGTCAAATCTCTGGAAATAGTCTGAAACCCAGTTGAGTTTATACAGAAAAGCACACACTAAAAACCCTGAGACCATCTGGCCACAGAGATCTCAGTTTCTCTGACAACCCTCCTTGGAACTGTGGGAGGGTTAGTCCTGTAATCACTGAATCGAAAATCAGCCAGGAGAACAAACAAGAAGGCAGATCCTAAAACAAAACATCCTAGTTTCTGCTCCAATCAACTGGAGGGCCAGGCCATCTCCCGAGGATGTCAGGGACTCAAGATGGTGCTCAGGTAAAAGACTTGTTCCTAAAATGCTGAGTGTAAATCAAGCCCTGTTTACAAGGCACTAAGGGAGGGGGCAGTTTAAAGACAACCCGAGGCAAATGTAGACAGGACCCCTCTTTGCCTCTGTTGATCTGTTTTGTGTTTGTAAATAGATGTATTACAGTAGCGATTACTACTTTCCTGAGGTATGTTCATTCACAGTTACTAAATTTGCAAATGTGAAAATTTTGCTCCTTGGGTATTTGAAATATATGATAGTCAAAAGTAGGTGTGGACCAGGAAGGAATGAAAGAGAAAGTCGAATGTGAACTCTCCCACGGAGATGGGTGGACCCATGGATGGGCTTGTTCACAGGAAAGCAGGACAAGCCAGAGCTCCCTGGAGAAGCTGTAGTCAAGCTGATAAGATTTCAAATGAGAAAGGGGCCTTATCCTTTACAAAAAGGAGACAAACACTCAGCGGCGCAACAAGAACTCCCTGAGTTGGTCATTTGATAAGTCAAGAGAAGCTCACAATCATTTGGGAGCCCTGAAAAATACACGTAAAATTGGGATCTTGAATAGATCAACCTGCCTGCCAGGTGCTCTTCCTTAAAGCTCTCTCCTCAGTACCAGTATCATGCTGGGGTTCTGTGTTTACCAGGCCCTGACAAGGGAATATGTTTACTTGCTGTTTGGTTTTAGGTGCGAGGATTACTGAGAAGCAGCATTTTGCACTTAGGATGGGAATGGGGGAGATGAGGGGAAGGACGGGTGGTCAGGCCAGAAGCAGGTGGGCAGAGGCAGAGGGGCCCCAGGGTGGAGCCAGTGGGGCAGGCAGCCATGTACTGCAGGCACCATCCAGTTGGCATGTGCAGTAGGCAATCAAGTGTAAGGCCAATTACCTGAAATTTCTGGAAGTGCAGGCTTGTCTTCTTTCCAGAAGTTCCCATCACAAACAGGAAGTCTGGGGTTAGCACAAATGGCACTCTCTCTTTATTAATGCCCAGGAAACTTTTGTAATTGCCAAGAATGTGCCCGAAGTCAATATGAAATAGATTTCCTTAAGAGAAGAAAATGCCTGACATCATCCCACTGGCATAAGCTCTTGTAACAACACTCTGGTTTGTTTGTTTCTTGAAATACTTTACGTTGCCTGAAAATGAGCTATCTTGGGTAACAGAGCTATTTTTACCCTGTTTTATCAGCTTGTCATTTTTTTCATCTTAGCAGGTGTGTGTAGTAAGCACAAAGCACTCTTTGAACCAAGTGTGTTTTTGACATCCTCTGGTGTTCTTTCAATGCCAGCCAAATGCCATTAAAAAATTCTCATCTCAGAATTATTCTTAGAAATACAAATCAAAAACTTTCTGGCTAGTAAGTCGTCATTATGCCCAAGACTCTCTTGTGCCTTTAACATAACTCAGGATAGACTGATAGTTCCCCCTGTGTGGGGGAGGGGCATTCACCTTTTAATTTGTAAAAGCACCACAGAATTGAGTCATTCTGAATCTCCTTTGGGTCAACTTCTACCACTGTCACAATCGCCACCACAGTGACTCCTCCCATCTCTTCTGATTTGTATAGCCCTGTATCGTGTGCTCCGTACATTCATTCTCGCTTTTGATGCTCACAGGGAGAAAGCGATTTATCCCAATATGGTGTTCTTTCCAGACTCTACTCTTAAATTGGCCCAGATTTCTTAGGGAAAAATTTCACTCATCAGGGTCAGTACCGACCACTGTCAGAGCGGACAGTGAACCAGTGGGAATGCGGAGGTTAGGAAGGCACAGCTTTCAGATCTTAGGACCTCACTGAGTTCTTTTTGTTGCTTCTCTGCAACATCTGACACCCATCTGGTCATGCCCATCTTTACTAGCTTGCGGGATAGGACCAGTCCTGGCTTTTTAGCTAGTCTTGGGCTTTTCCTTCTTCGGTCTCACTTCTGGCATCTTCTTCCATGACTCACTCCTGGGGCCTCTTTAGGGTGCTCACAAGTGCTCTATACAGTAACAACTCCTAGATATGTGCTCTAACCTTAACCTCCATTTAAAAACTACTCTGCTGGGGGTAAGGCACAGAGCTTCAGTGGGGGATGATGAAAAAGTTCTGGAGATGGGCAGTGGTGATGGTTGTAAATCAACGTGAATGCACTCAATGCCACGAACTGTACACTTAAGGCTGGTTAAATGGTAAATTTTATGTTATGTATGTTTTACCACAATGAAAAAGTTACTCTGCAATAAACATACTCACCTGTCTCTGTGATCATAATATTGTCATTGTGCCTGTCGCCTATTCCAAGAACAAAGGTTGCCACACAGTAGCCAGCACAGGAATAAACAAATCTCTCCACGGCTGCCTGAAACTAATTAAAATGCATTTCAGTATTAGTTGGGTTCTAACTACAAAGGGCAGCATGAATCAATTATAAATGACTTCCACAAAGACACTGTTCTGCAAACCATTTTCAGAGAGCAAGTGAGTTGTGCCTGATTTCATTAATGTAATAGCTGTTAAGTGCCAACTTGATGGTTGCTCTACTGATGTTTTAGGTGAAAATTTAATGAGTCACAATAGCACAAGAAGGAAACCTGAGTCAAAGGGCAATGGTAATTTAATCAGAGGGCACTTCCTTAGCGTGTTTCACTTGCCAACAGCTACACAGACCCCATCAAAATTTCTTCCTTGGTGACTATATGTTTTGCCTATGACTACTTAAAGTATGCACAGGTTCACAGATCCATGCTTATAACAGACTAATAAATGTTACTAATTATATTTCCTCCCCAAAAGGCTGCTAACCATGCAAATGAGAAGTGCTAATCCTGTGCAGCAGAACTTTACATGACAGCCAAACAGCCTGACCACACAGCTTGTGAAGGATTCAGCATATGGACTTCAGAGGGATGGTGGAACTGACGTTTTCAGCATCCATAATTTACTGTTTAGATTAGAGGGCAGTGGTAAATTATAAATTACTTTATAGGGTGTGTGAGGTTGCCCAGGTAGGAAAGAATTTACACATGGTAGCTAAATTTTTTGCTGACCAACAGAAGTCAGTCATCACAAAAAGTGCTAACAAATTATTTCACACAACTGAATTTTATGCGAAGCATGCCTGATAAGCAAAGGGGAAGCACATGCTCATGGAGTTCTGAACTGAGTGCCTCTGTTTCACACGTATGTGCTCTGTCACCACGGGGAGCACCTTAAGCTCCCAAGACCTCAGGAGTAAAGGGCTTTCCCAACGTCAGGAGGCATGACATTCGTTGGTCCTTCGACAACATGAAACCAGGACTGCCGTATAAATGACAACTGGTAAGGAACCTTCCAAGTGGGGAAAAGCAGGAGCTCACCTTTTCTTCAATGGAACATTTTTCTTTGAGCCAGTGGTTCAGGACTTCATCTTTAAAGGCACCTGTGTTGCCCACGGTGCTTTGCTGAATTTTGGCAATTGTGGTGGCATCTTTCACGATCTCGATCATTCCTACAGGAGGACGCACAGAGTCTGATGTGAATTGGGGCCTAGTGCCTGACCCAGCGGAGGAACGGCTATGTCTCTGTTGAATGGAGGGCAGAGGGCTTTTTCAAACAGAGGGCTATGTTCCAGGTGCTATGGTTTTCTTAAGGGGAAGAGAGCAAACAGAAGGAAATGGAAGTTGTGTGGGACATGCTTCCAATATCCCTGAATGACAAGAGAGGTTGGTTTTGAAAGGCAGTGAGTAAAAGCATTTATTTGCTGAGCATATCCTTCCACACTTGGCAACCTGTGCCTTTTCATTTCTTAAATTATGGGGTCAAATGGAAATGGTTCTATACAGTTCTTAAATGGGAAACTGAATAAAAATGCCTGATTGAGATGAAAATGTTAAGTGTCTGTAAAAGCAGCTACGAGTGGAGTATGTAATAGCTTTGATTATGTGAATTCTGGGATATTAAATTAAGTGACAGATCTTGTCATCTATTTTTAAATGTAATTTGTGAGAGGGAAGTTTGAGACGTAATGGAATGAGTTAAAGTCTAGAGGTGGAGCAGTAAAGGGGAGGAACAAGTTCTTATAAAATCATTCCCATGTAGAGTCACAAGGGTTTACATCACACATTTATATGTATTTTCCACATGTCCATATTAAGTCGAGACTCACATTTAGCAGCTTTCGAACAGTTTCTTTTTGTATGGATTATGATTGTAATTTTTCAGTTATTAAAGGCCTGCACTGAAGCAGTTAGGATCCTTTAAAACTAGCTGAGTGGTATATTCATCTCCCAATGTAACCAAATACCTATTTTGTCACCAGTTGAAATGCAACCATATGGAAGGAGGCAGAGGTCCAAAGATTCAGTCTCCCAGATAGACTCCATGATTCGTAGAATCTAGGCATCAAACACAAAGACCTTTCTGTTATAAATACATATTTATTTGATATATTTTTCTTATCCCTTAAAAAAACCTAATAATCTTACCTGGTAACACAAAATGTGTGAGTAAACATAAAATATATAAGCAACAACTATACTTTTATTTATCAACCTTGCAGTCTTTTAAGTTTCCCTTCCTTGGGAGCCTGTTGATTTTAGTGCCTGAGTCCCTCGAGGAGAGGATAAATGGATTTATTTGAGGGTAGGTTTTAGCCACATTTCATCTACTCAAATGTACCACTCTAGTTGTGTATATTTTACCACCAAAAACAAAAAAAAGCTTTACTCCAACATCCTTACAAATTCTTATCCATCACGTACTCCTGGGCACTAATACCAATGATATGATAGCTAATATTCACTAAGTGCTGATCTAAGGCGATCATTTGTATTTACTCTGTCATGTGGATGTGATTATTATTCCCACTCTGAAGGTGGAGAGATTAAGGCCTTGAAAGCCAAAATGACTTGCACTTATCTGCCAAGCAGTGTGCCTCAACAACAACACAAAGCACATAAAAGACAAATACAGACTTTCCCTCAAAATAAGAGGAATAACCGAGTGATGGTTTTTGTTTTTGAAGCACCCATCTTTAAATAATTCCGAAGATTCTACAGATTTATTGGAAGTTAATAAACTTTAGGACATTTTGAAGGCATTTTTCTTTTTTTAAATACATACTACCAGTACAACACACATGCCATTCTTGAAAAGAGAGCAAAGAGTATTATTGTTTCCATATTAGAAATAAGTAAAAACAAAAACAAGGAGAAATGAAAACATGGCTAGTTTGTAAATAGGCTACATTTAAATCAATGTGGCTTGCCTATTTTTAATAAAGTATATTAAATATTAGAAATTATGTTACCTCTACAATATTCAACAGCTAGAATACGGAGAATATTACTTCATGGATTTGTGAAGGTGAAGGTTATCCAGACATGTTAGAGAGAGTGGAAAATGATTAACACGGATATTGTCACCATTCGCCTTTGGCTCCAGTGATCTGTCCACTCTTGCTAATTGACTGCGTGGTTTCTCCAGTCGCCTACTTGTTCATTTTCTTTCTTCTCCCTTCCTACCAAATCATTCACCTGAACTTGTGCAAGTGAATGTGTATTAAAGGTGATGTATCTAAGGAGGGCTCTTGTGAGTGCACAGATATGTCTATGAATATCAAACAGTGCATGCCAGGGGGTGACTATATCTGTATGCACTGTTACCATGCCAGGAATGGGGTGTATTAAAAAAGAGATTGGGTAGAGAAGTGCATCTGGCTATTTGGGAATATTGGATAGGCACGTTCTCAGAAATGGACAGAACTGATACTCACTAGATTACACGTCTCAGGTTCACAGCCATATTCCCCCAGTGAAAGCTCTCCATCTTTAATCAGTATTCATCACACAAAATAGGAGAAAATGGGGAAAGAGTCTTTAGAAGGCATATTTTAGATCTACTGTGGAGTTCTTTTTAAATCATTGAGAAAAGTTTCTGAACAGCAGCATACCTGTAAAATAAGCATGTCTTGGCGCAGATCATCACCGTGTTTAAAGATAATTCCAATTGTTTCATTTGATAGAGCTGTAGGGTCGGCACATTTAAACTCAAGCCATAGGGGCTTCTTCTTGGAGGCCATCACTTTACATTTTTCGATCTGTAAAGAAACAGTCACATGTTTCCTACACCAATATGGACACAAATCCTTTGCAAAGCATCTCTATAAATGACCAGAACAAAGTCCTAGTGGAGAATGATTTTCAATGATTTGGATATAAATACAGAAGGTGTTGTCACCAAATCTGGAAATACTATTTATAACACTTAAGCCAGTGGTTCTCAAGCTGTGTTCCAAAGAACCCTAAGTAAGAATCCTTAGAAGTACCTAAGAGGCATGGCAGATTCCATCCTCCACATGCCACATTCCTACAGGATTCTGGTACCCACTCCATGTTCCCTTTCATACAGAGCAACTTTGCTGTGATCTGTTTATATACTTGTCTTCCCCCAAGGTTTAATTTGAAAAAGGAGTTCTACTACTGCAATATCTAGAAACTATTGTCACAGTATCAGATGCAACAGGCCTCATGTAACAGGATGAAATTTAACAGCAATAAGTAGAAATCTAGCACTCTGGTACCATGTCTCCCCACCCCAAAGAAAATGCCAAATGCTTAAATAAATTCAAGGTGGGGGACAAAGAGCTTAGCAGCCACTCACTCTAAATACAAAGCATTAGGTGTTTTAGCCAAAACTCCTGAATTCACCATGATCAAAGTGTCAGATGGTCTTTAAATAAGGCAAACACAATTTGAAGCTGTAATAATATATCATTATTCCTACCAATCTCCAAGTGAAGGACCGTGGATAGAGTAGGGCCAATTTACTGCTCACTGCATATAAAGTTACACACGTAGGGAGGAGCTTCCCTTCCTATCCACAAGACTTAACTGCTGCAGGAGTTGGTGGCCTGTTATAAACAACTAGCGCACTAAGCAAATATATGAAACAACCTTTTTCAGACATTAGACAACAGGCAGTGTAGAACTGTCACTCTGAGAGGATGGAAAGAAATGAGGTGAGCCCTACACTTGCCCCAGTTTACTGCTGGGAGTGGTTTCCAGATACAACACAGAGAAGGGGGATGCAGGCAAAGTTGATAAAAATTATCAACCCACAAACCCAAGCTCAATGACCTCAAGTAGACTAAGCAAAAAGAAAACCATACCAAGACATGAACATCATAATCAAATTGCTGAAAACTAGTGATAAAATAAAATCTTAAAAGCAACATTGGGGGAAGAAAATGACATTTTAGGTACAGAAGTCAAAGATAAGAATGACAGGAGACACATCATCAGAAATATGTAAGCCAGAAGAAAATGCTGCTAAAAGGAAAAAAAAAAGTCAACTTAGAATTCTGTATTTAGAGAAAATATTCTTCAAAAATGAAGGTAGAATAGTTGCAGACAAACAAAAACTGGAAGACTTTCTTGCCAGAAGACCTCACTATAAAAGAATACTAAAGGCTGAAGGAAAAATGATGCTGGGTGGAAGCAAAAAACTGATACAAAAAATGAAAGGTAGCAAAAATGGAAAATGTGTGAGTAAATACAAAAAAGTTTAATATATTGAATCCTTTAACTCTTTAAAGCAAAAATAACAGTGTATTGGGTTTATAACATGTAGACATTAAAAGCATGACAAAAATTGTATAAAGGATGGCATAAGGTTAATGGAAGTATATCTCTTAAGATTCTTACACATACATGAAGTTTCCTATTTGAACATAAGAGCATGTGGTTTTGATGTAAGGATATTTTCTAGATCTGTGGAATGGAATAGGGTATCTAGTTACAGTCTTACATATATGCAATTGATATTTGACAAAAGTGCCAAGGTAGTTGGTATTTCTCAGAAGAAGATGGAAAATAAGCCCATGAGAGGATTCACAACCTCATTAGGGAAATGCAGATAAAAACACAGTGGGCTACCACTTCCCACCCATTTGAATGGTTACAATTAAAAAGACTGATGATCACAAGTGCTGGCTAAGATGTGGAACAATTGGAACTTGCACACATTGCTGGTGCAAAGATAAAATGGTACACTGTTTGGTAAAACAGTTTGGGAGTATCTTTTAAAATGAAACACACCCAACTGTCTCACTGCTAAATATATACTCAAAAGGTGAATGGACAAGAAATGGTGGTTTATCTATACAAGGGAATATTACTCAGTCATAAAAAGGAACAGACTGCTGATATACACACGACATGGATGAATTGTAAAAGAATTATGCTGATACACACTGTATGATTCCTCTTCATGAAATTCTAGAAAAGACAAAACTACATGATGGAAAGCAGGCCTGTTGTCTAGGAGGAAGGATGGAAAGAGGAAAGGACTAACCATAAAGGGAATGAAATGTTTTCCTGGAACATTCTATGGAAATGTATATCTTGACTGTGGTGATGGTTCTTTGATTGTATGCATTTGTCAAAACTCATTGAACTGTATTTTATTGTATGGGAATGATTTCTTAAGAAAGCTGATTTAAAACAAAAATGGATGAAAGATTGCCCATTGCCCAGTGTTGAGGCTTTTAGTAGTGAGTGATTAGAGAAGGGCTTGAAGCCCATCCAGGGACTTTCCAGCTTCACTGGCTCTGGAGAAATGTTAGCTTTTAACTTCTGGGCCCTGTAAGCACAAACAGACATTTTCAAGACACAAAGACACATACAGACCTCAGGCGGATACCTACCACCAGTGTTCCTGCTTTCAGTTCAGGGTCATATGGAACTCTAAAACTCTTTGGGAGATTAAAGTTCTGCAGGTTTTCAAGCTTTTGCTTAAGTTGTGAAATGACTGTAATTGTCAAAAGCAAACAATAGTTATATGAGTTCGAGAAATTACCAATATTATCTATAACAGTTCCCGAGGCCACATCAAATCACAACATGCTGTTTGGTCTGGTGTGGAGCAGGAGAAAGGGAGGTTTCTGTATTTGAGGAAATAACCATTTGAGGTGGCAAGATAAGTCAGGGTTACTGAAAGCAATACAACCATGGATACATACTACTACAGGAGACAGAAATATGGAAGATATATATGGGATACCAAGACAAGGTAGAGAAGGATGTTTTGAGGGGACTGCTAAGGAATCAACACAGTAGTCCTCTTTCCAACATAAAAAACTTAAAACTGCTCTCTGATTTGGGGAACAGATATTTGGAGACAATAGTAAAGCAACTCAGTTAGGGTTCTGTAAATTCTCTTCAAAAGAGGAAGTTAGGTTATATGGGGATGATGTGACAGCCTCAAAACTCTAAAAGCAAAATACATAATTAAAAATTACTCCCTGGTTAACAGATAGACTAGCAGCCAGTCCAAATGTCTCCCTTTTTTACTTAAAAGTAAAATTAGTATCATCATTATTATTTTTAGAAGACAGCATTATTGGTTGGTGTATTAGAAAAGAATCAAAGGGAAAAAGTGGAAATTTGAACTATTCAGAAGTTAAAAATACTGGCTGATTATATTAGTTAAGTGTCCATTATGAGCCATAGTGCTGGGTGTAGGTAAACAAAAATGAGTAGGAGCTCTCTCCTCATTTCAAGACTCATACTGTTTACCAGACCAGAAAGATGTATTAATGACTATAATTTAATGCATTATCAACCAAAACCTGTGGGAATACAGAGAAAGAATGATTAACTTCCTGAGGGCAGGGACAGAATTTCTTAGGGAGAACAAGATATTAGAAATAGCTTCAGAGAAGAGGTGATAATATATATATTTTTCTATGAAGTACTATATATAATTATATCTACATATGAAGATATATAAATATACAACAAATTTAAAATAGCTTCCCAATAATTCATTACTTTAAAAGACTGAAAATTTGAAAATTATTCAAAAGGTAGGGATGAAAAAGGTAAATATTTGAAATAACTCTGGGCACACTGTGCTTAAAAATACAAAAAATACATTCTACATCTGCTTAACACTTTTTAACTTTTTCAAATAATTTAATGTCTATTGTAAATTCATCATTAGAATATATAAATATCAGCTTTAAAAAATGTTAACTTCTATAGGAAGAATTTGCAATTTGCAAACTCTGTACACATAGAAGATTAAACGAGTTCTTGGCTGCCTTTAGGAAGGAGCAACTTGCCTTCCAAGAGGAAGAAAAGTCACAGGGATGATGGCATTTAGAGATGAAGGCATTTGGGAAGAGAACCAAGAAAACACAGCCACTTTACCTTGGGAACTGACATCATACTTTTCAGCAGAGAGCGATTTAATATCAATGGTGATTTTTTGCAACATCTCGATTACTTGGACTTGCTGGGTAAAGTCGTGCAGCATGGCTGTGCCACAGCCCCTCAGATAGGCTTCCAGGATCACGGCAAACCTCTGCTGATAGTGCCTGGACTGGGCTATCTCACTTCTCAGGAACCAAAACAAGAAGTGACCAATTCTCTTGTTCTGACAGTGGCAACAAGAAGAGTGAAATTACTGTGACTCATGCTTTAGGTTTGTCAGTCAACTCTTGCTAACTTTTAAAATGTCGCGCTATTATCAAAATGGAAGTACTTACTCTTAAACCACGTTTAAGCAGAAATCTGGCAAGGGCACTGTCATGGTATGGTTCAAATTTCACGGCCTGTAGGATGAACACATGGGCATTTGTAGGATTGCATGTTATGTTGGTTAATCAGGAAAAAGGAAATGGAGAAAAACTGGTGTTCTGTCTTAGTGGGTCTGCATGGCTAGGGTGACAAGGATTTTACCAGTCACTTAAGTCAACCCTTTCTTTTCGAGAACACTTTGGGCCAAGAAGAACCACTTGCTTAAGGACTGGGATTAGAAGCCAGAGCTCTTGATTCAGTCATCTGCTTTTTGGTAACTTCAAATGGGAAGAGGTGAGGGCTTTTCTTCCATTAAGGGCTTACTTGATTGAAAGGATAGAAGGGAAAGATGGAGAGGGCTGTGTAAGTGGAAGGTTAGAGGAGTTGCTGGAAAGAAATGGCCAGTGGAGACACAGTACATGTAACAAGAAATGTATTTGTTAGGTGTGTAGATCCTAATAATGCTACCGCTTTGCTTTGGTTCAAGAGGCCACCCCCTGAGCTGCCTCAGAGGTCTTAACTACAAATGAATAGCAGGCCTGGATCAATCCATATGGAGTGATCACTATGCTTGCCATGCTGTAGTGTATACAGAGCTTTTTGTCTGAAAATTCTTTGGTTTTATGTTCTTTAATAGTGTTTAGAAGTTTTCATGACTAATATAGAGATATATTGACTTAGGTGCCAGCTCAAGAAAAAGAACCAATAAAATGTAAATGATAATTTAATCTTGGTGGGTTTATGGGTATTTGTTATATCATTCTCTGTATTTTCTATACCTCTACAATTGTTTGTCATTGTAAAGGCAGCAAGACTAACAGATATTGTTCAGGTTATTACAGATGCATACACAGGGTTATAAAGTGGGTGGTATGTATAAACAAAGAGGCTTAAAATTAAATATCTTACAGTAGTTCCTTTATAAATAGAAAGGGTCTATCCTTTTTTCCCAAGGAATGGGAGAAATTCCCATTTCACTTTGTTTTATGACCTGCAGGCTTCTTTGGCATGATTTCCAGTTCTTCCTCTGGTTTTTCAGTTTGGAAACGATCAATTGACAATACTAGTATTTCACTTATTCTCATGTTTTCAAAGTTGCTTTTCATGGGTGTGGTCCAATAAGTGCTATCATAGCTTCAGCTAAGGTGTTAATTCTGAAAGTGTAATTATTTAGCCGCCAGTACGCAATTCAGAAATGTTTGAGGTTCTAACCCAAACGTGAATCTCTTCGGCCTTCTTTGTGTTTCACTTCTGTAAAGACAATGCAGATCTCAACTGGGAGACCATTTTAAGCAAGAATGAGTCATTTAGCCATATCTGAGAATGTCTCAGATAGTTTTACAAATGACTAGTCTCCAAATTTGTGACCACAAATTCATGTTAATATTACTTATTGACCTCTTTCATTTAAAATGTTTCAAAGAAGAATACTATCCATTTTCTAATTCTGCAAAGTTTACATGTGAACATGACAATGAAAATAATTCTTTAGTGAATTAAATTTCATTAATTTTCATTAGTGTTATGCCAGTCTGAACTGGTGAGAAGAGAAAAATACTGGACGTATTGCATAGATGATAGCAAAGGCCAAATGTAATGTCCTGAGTATCTGCTTAATGGGAAGGTGAAGATTCAGGGTTAAGGTTGAGAATATCCAAAATGCTCATCAGAAAACTCCAGGGCCTTCCTATAAATATAATGATTACAAGGTTAGTATCTAACACTAACCTGGCTAATCCTAAAGATCAACCTATACATCAACCAAACATCACCTATACACAACTTTCCCTGTCTTCATCAGCCTAAATTAAGTGTCCCCAGGACCCCTGTTTTCTCATAATACTCTCTATTTTCCTCCAAAGCATCGGTCACAATTTGTTAAGTATCTGTTTTTCGGTATATTCGTTTAGAGTCACTCTTCCTCACGACACTGCAGGCAGAGATGGCTCTGTTTTGATCATTGCTCATACCCAGCACCCAGAACAGGGAGGGAAATCACTCAGGACACGTTGTGGAATTAATGAATGAACACATCTGCACTCTAAAATAGCGTTTCTATTCCAATTACTTCCTTCTTCCTTGTCAAGCAGCACCATACAATTTGAGAACCCCTATAGTGAGCAGAACTGTGCTTCCTTCTTTCTTCAGCTTCCTAGATGGGCCTAGGCAAATCACTCAGCCTCCTGGAGCCATGAAGAGGCAGAGAGCAGGAGCAGAGACACGGTACTAGACCTGTCTACAGGGAGGGGCTTTCAAGGTCCCGTCAGATATAAGATGTTATCCTATGACTTGCAGCAAACTTGATCACAGAGGAGGATCTTTTCACTCTAGGCCACACTATTCTGACCCCAGATTGATTCAGGATATTGGGATCCAATAAAAAGAGCAGGGCCTGGAGTCAGACCTCCTGGGTGGGAATTGTGGTCTGCTTCATTCAAAGTATGTGACCTTGATCACATTACTTAGACTCTCTGTACTCCATTTTTCTTATATATAAAATGCAAATGGTGATTTCACCTCCCTCATAGTTGTGGGGAGAGTTAAATGTGGTAATAAACGAAAAGCATGTAAATCTCTTGTGACTTGGCTTAAGGAAGCATTCAACAAGTCAAATCTATCACTAATAGCGCAAATGAGAAAAAAGTATTCTCACAGGTCCAGTTCTCCTAAAAAGCAAAATACTTATGTCTTCCAAAGGCTTGTGGCAACCAGCAAAGAGAGCAACAAAGTAACTGGAACGGTTTACTACTTTTTCAGGTGGCTTCATCAGATCTACTTTGACTGATCGTGATGCTCTACATAAAGGGCATTCGATGACAACTGAATGGGGTGCCTGTGCACATGCAAACAAACTCCCTGGTGAGACTGCTCCGTGAGTAATGCCAACGGCCCCTACCTGGACCAGCTGCAGCAGGTAGTGCAGGACGTCGTCATCCTCCAAACTCTCCAGTTTCTGGACCGCAATGGCTCTCACATTCTCATCTGAAAAGTTGCAGTCCAGGAGCTGCATTGTTAACCCCACATCCAAAGCACTTTGCTCCCACACCTCTCTTCTGGCTAGCAATTGGTATGTTTTAGCTACAATTTCTTGCTGTCCCCATTTCACGGAGCTAAACAGCTTAGGATATGCCTTTGGATGCTTAAGGCTTTCATATCTAAAATGCCAGAGTAATTCTTTGTCCTCTGCTGTGAGAGGGTTAAGTGGATCAGTGGCTATGATTGCCTCCAGTTGCTTCCGAAGCTGGTTGGGCATTTCAGCTCGAACCCGGTCCCCTTCAGGGTCGGGGGTGGGCCGATGCTTGGGCAGCGCTATGGGGTGGCAGTAATTGTCCAGAAGAATGGAGATGGACATCGAGTTCTCCTTGTCTGGGTTGGTTGCAGACGTGAGCTTGTCAGCATTGAAGCTCCCTTGGTCTTCTGCCTTCCCGGATATCTGCCACATGTGGAGCACATACTCCCCATGGCGCAGGAGGAACCGGTGGTCGATCAGCAGCAGGTTCACATAATAGAGAAGCTGAGCTTTGCCTTTGGCCTCAGAACTGGGAGACTCTGCAGAAGCCTTGCCAGACAGTGCTGGCGCTTTGCTGCAGTAGATCTGGAAGTTCAGCAGAGCCCCCTTGGGTAAGTCTTTGATTTTGATACTGAACTCAAGCCACACATTCCAGAGCACCTCCTCTGTGAAGGGTTTAGGGCTGGTTCTCCTCTGGCAAAGGACTTGCTGCCCATGTTGGATGTTTGCCTCCACAAAAACCGTGAGGTCAGCATTCCGGGGCAGGACAGGAATATCAATGCCTCTGATTTTGACCCTGAACTTCCGGTCACAGTCCCACAGGGACACAGTGAACACACTCTCGTGGTCCTTCCCGTGGATGGTCAGCTGCTCATGGTAGCCAGTGACCCCCGTGCAGTCATCCACCAGTGGCCACTCTTCTTTCCTCACCTCGTCCAGGGCTGGGTCTGGAGGCGTGTCCAGCACCAGGTGAATCTCTTCCCCATTCTTGAGGCAGTGCCTCACCCACTGGAAGTTTTTGATGGGCGTCTCACCCATCAGGTACTCATCCCGGCCGCAGACGCGCAGCACAAAATCCTGTTCGTTCTGGCTTTCGGGGATGTCCATCAGAGACTTCTTCTTGGCCATCTTGGTGAAGAAGCTCTGGAGGATGGTGCCTGGGGTGTCGTCGGCCGAGACCTTTATGGTCTGGCTGGTGGTGCTGCGGTGAATGACGATGAAGATGCAGTTGTTGGTAATCTTCTTCAACAGGTACTCGGGGAGGGGCTTGGACGTCACCCAGGGGTGCATGGCGTAGAGTTTGGGGTCACGGCTGGCCACCTCAGCCATGCGGGGGCTGACCAGCCTGCGGCGCGTGAACTCCAGCTCATTGTCGTGCACGTTGCTGACATCGGTGACGTCGTAGCCGATCAGGGCTGTGAGCTGCTGCTGGAAGGCCAGCGTCTCCTCCGAGGGTGTGCGCCGCTGCACCACGTGGATCTGGCCGGGGCTCCAGCGCAGCACCTTCCAGTAGCTCAGGCAGTCCAGGGTCTGCACCACCTGGTACTTGTCATAGATCTCGTACCACTGCCCCTTCTTCTGGTAGAGCAAGAGGAAGTGGTCGGGGCCGAGCCGGTGGTAGAAGTCTGCCGCCACGCTGGTCTCCAGCGCGCGCAGCCACACCTGGGCTTTCATCTGCTCCACGTTGCCGTGGCCGGCCACGTGCAGCAGCACCATCTCGGGGGTCTTGCTGTTGCGCTGGCTGGTGGGCAGCACGAACTCGATGGGGATGAGCTCCATGGAGGATAGGTTGGCCGCCGTGCTGCGTGGCTTCATCCTCCGGCGCCTGCGGCCGTTGTCCAGAAAAAGGTAAATATTTGAAATAACTCTGGGCACACTGTGCTTAAAAATACAAAAAATACATTCTACATCTGCTTAACACTTTTTAACTTTTTCAAATAATTTAATGTCTATTGTAAATTCATCATTAGAATATATAAATATCAGCTTTAAAAAATGTTAACTTCTATAGGAAGAATTTGCAATTTGCAAACTCTGTACACATAGAAGATTAAACGAGTTCTTGGCTGCCTTTAGGAAGGAGCAACTTGCCTTCCAAGAGGAAGAAAAGTCACAGGGATGATGGCATTTAGAGATGAAGGCATTTGGGAAGAGAACCAAGAAAACACAGCCACTTTACCTTGGGAACTGACATCATACTTTTCAGCAGAGAGCGATTTAATATCAATGGTGATTTTTTGCAACATCTCGATTACTTGGACTTGCTGGGTAAAGTCGTGCAGCATGGCTGTGCCACAGCCCCTCAGATAGGCTTCCAGGATCACGGCAAACCTCTGCTGATAGTGCCTGGACTGGGCTATCTCACTTCTCAGGAACCAAAACAAGAAGTGACCAATTCTCTTGTTCTGACAGTGGCAACAAGAAGAGTGAAATTACTGTGACTCATGCTTTAGGTTTGTCAGTCAACTCTTGCTAACTTTTAAAATGTCGCGCTATTATCAAAATGGAAGTACTTACTCTTAAACCACGTTTAAGCAGAAATCTGGCAAGGGCACTGTCATGGTATGGTTCAAATTTCACGGCCTGTAGGATGAACACATGGGCATTTGTAGGATTGCATGTTATGTTGGTTAATCAGGAAAAAGGAAATGGAGAAAAACTGGTGTTCTGTCTTAGTGGGTCTGCATGGCTAGGGTGACAAGGATTTTACCAGTCACTTAAGTCAACCCTTTCTTTTCGAGAACACTTTGGGCCAAGAAGAACCACTTGCTTAAGGACTGGGATTAGAAGCCAGAGCTCTTGATTCAGTCATCTGCTTTTTGGTAACTTCAAATGGGAAGAGGTGAGGGCTTTTCTTCCATTAAGGGCTTACTTGATTGAAAGGATAGAAGGGAAAGATGGAGAGGGCTGTGTAAGTGGAAGGTTAGAGGAGTTGCTGGAAAGAAATGGCCAGTGGAGACACAGTACATGTAACAAGAAATGTATTTGTTAGGTGTGTAGATCCTAATAATGCTACCGCTTTGCTTTGGTTCAAGAGGCCACCCCCTGAGCTGCCTCAGAGGTCTTAACTACAAATGAATAGCAGGCCTGGATCAATCCATATGGAGTGATCACTATGCTTGCCATGCTGTAGTGTATACAGAGCTTTTTGTCTGAAAATTCTTTGGTTTTATGTTCTTTAATAGTGTTTAGAAGTTTTCATGACTAATATAGAGATATATTGACTTAGGTGCCAGCTCAAGAAAAAGAACCAATAAAATGTAAATGATAATTTAATCTTGGTGGGTTTATGGGTATTTGTTATATCATTCTCTGTATTTTCTATACCTCTACAATTGTTTGTCATTGTAAAGGCAGCAAGACTAACAGATATTGTTCAGGTTATTACAGATGCATACACAGGGTTATAAAGTGGGTGGTATGTATAAACAAAGAGGCTTAAAATTAAATATCTTACAGTAGTTCCTTTATAAATAGAAAGGGTCTATCCTTTTTTCCCAAGGAATGGGAGAAATTCCCATTTCACTTTGTTTTATGACCTGCAGGCTTCTTTGGCATGATTTCCAGTTCTTCCTCTGGTTTTTCAGTTTGGAAACGATCAATTGACAATACTAGTATTTCACTTATTCTCATGTTTTCAAAGTTGCTTTTCATGGGTGTGGTCCAATAAGTGCTATCATAGCTTCAGCTAAGGTGTTAATTCTGAAAGTGTAATTATTTAGCCGCCAGTACGCAATTCAGAAATGTTTGAGGTTCTAACCCAAACGTGAATCTCTTCGGCCTTCTTTGTGTTTCACTTCTGTAAAGACAATGCAGATCTCAACTGGGAGACCATTTTAAGCAAGAATGAGTCATTTAGCCATATCTGAGAATGTCTCAGATAGTTTTACAAATGACTAGTCTCCAAATTTGTGACCACAAATTCATGTTAATATTACTTATTGACCTCTTTCATTTAAAATGTTTCAAAGAAGAATACTATCCATTTTCTAATTCTGCAAAGTTTACATGTGAACATGACAATGAAAATAATTCTTTAGTGAATTAAATTTCATTAATTTTCATTAGTGTTATGCCAGTCTGAACTGGTGAGAAGAGAAAAATACTGGACGTATTGCATAGATGATAGCAAAGGCCAAATGTAATGTCCTGAGTATCTGCTTAATGGGAAGGTGAAGATTCAGGGTTAAGGTTGAGAATATCCAAAATGCTCATCAGAAAACTCCAGGGCCTTCCTATAAATATAATGATTACAAGGTTAGTATCTAACACTAACCTGGCTAATCCTAAAGATCAACCTATACATCAACCAAACATCACCTATACACAACTTTCCCTGTCTTCATCAGCCTAAATTAAGTGTCCCCAGGACCCCTGTTTTCTCATAATACTCTCTATTTTCCTCCAAAGCATCGGTCACAATTTGTTAAGTATCTGTTTTTCGGTATATTCGTTTAGAGTCACTCTTCCTCACGACACTGCAGGCAGAGATGGCTCTGTTTTGATCATTGCTCATACCCAGCACCCAGAACAGGGAGGGAAATCACTCAGGACACGTTGTGGAATTAATGAATGAACACATCTGCACTCTAAAATAGCGTTTCTATTCCAATTACTTCCTTCTTCCTTGTCAAGCAGCACCATACAATTTGAGAACCCCTATAGTGAGCAGAACTGTGCTTCCTTCTTTCTTCAGCTTCCTAGATGGGCCTAGGCAAATCACTCAGCCTCCTGGAGCCATGAAGAGGCAGAGAGCAGGAGCAGAGACACGGTACTAGACCTGTCTACAGGGAGGGGCTTTCAAGGTCCCGTCAGATATAAGATGTTATCCTATGACTTGCAGCAAACTTGATCACAGAGGAGGATCTTTTCACTCTAGGCCACACTATTCTGACCCCAGATTGATTCAGGATATTGGGATCCAATAAAAAGAGCAGGGCCTGGAGTCAGACCTCCTGGGTGGGAATTGTGGTCTGCTTCATTCAAAGTATGTGACCTTGATCACATTACTTAGACTCTCTGTACTCCATTTTTCTTATATATAAAATGCAAATGGTGATTTCACCTCCCTCATAGTTGTGGGGAGAGTTAAATGTGGTAATAAACGAAAAGCATGTAAATCTCTTGTGACTTGGCTTAAGGAAGCATTCAACAAGTCAAATCTATCACTAATAGCGCAAATGAGAAAAAAGTATTCTCACAGGTCCAGTTCTCCTAAAAAGCAAAATACTTATGTCTTCCAAAGGCTTGTGGCAACCAGCAAAGAGAGCAACAAAGTAACTGGAACGGTTTACTACTTTTTCAGGTGGCTTCATCAGATCTACTTTGACTGATCGTGATGCTCTACATAAAGGGCATTCGATGACAACTGAATGGGGTGCCTGTGCACATGCAAACAAACTCCCTGGTGAGACTGCTCCGTGAGTAATGCCAACGGCCCCTACCTGGACCAGCTGCAGCAGGTAGTGCAGGACGTCGTCATCCTCCAAACTCTCCAGTTTCTGGACCGCAATGGCTCTCACATTCTCATCTGAAAAGTTGCAGTCCAGGAGCTGCATTGTTAACCCCACATCCAAAGCACTTTGCTCCCACACCTCTCTTCTGGCTAGCAATTGGTATGTTTTAGCTACAATTTCTTGCTGTCCCCATTTCACGGAGCTAAACAGCTTAGGATATGCCTTTGGATGCTTAAGGCTTTCATATCTAAAATGCCAGAGTAATTCTTTGTCCTCTGCTGTGAGAGGGTTAAGTGGATCAGTGGCTATGATTGCCTCCAGTTGCTTCCGAAGCTGGTTGGGCATTTCAGCTCGAACCCGGTCCCCTTCAGGGTCGGGGGTGGGCCGATGCTTGGGCAGCGCTATGGGGTGGCAGTAATTGTCCAGAAGAATGGAGATGGACATCGAGTTCTCCTTGTCTGGGTTGGTTGCAGACGTGAGCTTGTCAGCATTGAAGCTCCCTTGGTCTTCTGCCTTCCCGGATATCTGCCACATGTGGAGCACATACTCCCCATGGCGCAGGAGGAACCGGTGGTCGATCAGCAGCAGGTTCACATAATAGAGAAGCTGAGCTTTGCCTTTGGCCTCAGAACTGGGAGACTCTGCAGAAGCCTTGCCAGACAGTGCTGGCGCTTTGCTGCAGTAGATCTGGAAGTTCAGCAGAGCCCCCTTGGGTAAGTCTTTGATTTTGATACTGAACTCAAGCCACACATTCCAGAGCACCTCCTCTGTGAAGGGTTTAGGGCTGGTTCTCCTCTGGCAAAGGACTTGCTGCCCATGTTGGATGTTTGCCTCCACAAAAACCGTGAGGTCAGCATTCCGGGGCAGGACAGGAATATCAATGCCTCTGATTTTGACCCTGAACTTCCGGTCACAGTCCCACAGGGACACAGTGAACACACTCTCGTGGTCCTTCCCGTGGATGGTCAGCTGCTCATGGTAGCCAGTGACCCCCGTGCAGTCATCCACCAGTGGCCACTCTTCTTTCCTCACCTCGTCCAGGGCTGGGTCTGGAGGCGTGTCCAGCACCAGGTGAATCTCTTCCCCATTCTTGAGGCAGTGCCTCACCCACTGGAAGTTTTTGATGGGCGTCTCACCCATCAGGTACTCATCCCGGCCGCAGACGCGCAGCACAAAATCCTGTTCGTTCTGGCTTTCGGGGATGTCCATCAGAGACTTCTTCTTGGCCATCTTGGTGAAGAAGCTCTGGAGGATGGTGCCTGGGGTGTCGTCGGCCGAGACCTTTATGGTCTGGCTGGTGGTGCTGCGGTGAATGACGATGAAGATGCAGTTGTTGGTAATCTTCTTCAACAGGTACTCGGGGAGGGGCTTGGACGTCACCCAGGGGTGCATGGCGTAGAGTTTGGGGTCACGGCTGGCCACCTCAGCCATGCGGGGGCTGACCAGCCTGCGGCGCGTGAACTCCAGCTCATTGTCGTGCACGTTGCTGACATCGGTGACGTCGTAGCCGATCAGGGCTGTAAGCTGCTGCTGGAAGGCCAGCGTCTCCTCCGAGGGTGTGCGCCGCTGCACCACGTGGATCTGGCCGGGGCTCCAGCGCAGCACCTTCCAGTAGCTCAGGCAGTCCAGGGTCTGCACCACCTGGTACTTGTCATAGATCTCGTACCACTGCCCCTTCTTCTGGTAGAGCAAGAGGAAGTGGTCGGGGCCGAGCCGGTGGTAGAAGTCTGCCGCCACGCTGGTCTCCAGCGCGCGCAGCCACACCTGGGCTTTCATCTGCTCCACGTTGCCGTGGCCGGCCACGTGCAGCAGCACCATCTCGGGGGTCTTGCTGTTGCGCTGGCTGGTGGGCAGCACGAACTCGATGGGGATGAGCTCCATGGAGGATAGGTTGGCCGCCGTGCTGCGTGGCTTCATCCTCCGGCGCCTGCGGCCGTTGTCCTCTCTCAGAACCACCGGCTGCTCATAGTTCTCTAGCTCCATGCCCTAGGCGACCTGGCAGCAGGGAGACAGAGGGCTTTGTCATGGGGAAGACGCTTTCTGCTAGCGTTTTTCAGCGAGACGGCAAAAGAAGGAGGTGTAGAGAATTGACAGTGACGTGCCCACGGGGATATGTGGGCTTTGGAGTTGGGGTCCACGAATCCTGGCCCAGATACTCAGTATATGGGTGACAAGGTAGTTAAATAATCTCTGAGCCCCATTCCCCATCTCTTAGATGGGGTTAGCAATACCTCAGAGGGTGAGGTAGTGAATATGTGGGTAGAGATATGTGGGTGAGGAGTGAATAAGGTAATATACTTGTTGAGAACGGGTAATGAGTGTATGGGGATTTGTTTCTCATTCTCTCTACTTTCATTACGTTTGAAATTTTAGTTTTAAAAAGATAGTTTTATAGTTTATTGTAGATAAAAGTTTTTAAAAAGGTACAAGTAAAGCACTTAAATAGCATAGAGTCTGACATATTGTAATGGCCCAAAGTGGTAATTGTTGTTAAGCCTACCAAAACGCATAGATCAGTAAAACACTCCAGTTAAAGAATTAAGTCCTAGTTTACAAGGTGCAATGTGAGATGCTGAAGTACTTCACTTTGAAAACAGGCCTTTGACTTATTTCCACTTCAGTCAGTCTCTCACTTCTTGGCACCCAGACATCTTACCTAACCTTCCTTCACATTCTCTATTTTCAAACTGTGATCAAGTATCTACTAGCTAGTCAGCTTCCTGTCTTTCTTTTCTCATTTTTTTCTTTCTAGTTGGGAAAGGTAGTCATTTCATTGGTAAAACTCAAGAACATCAGAATTGGTGAAGAACATTTGGAGATATTTAAAATTTTGGATCAGGAAATGTGTAAACATTCTGGCTGTCATAGCCATGTTATGACAGTGTCTTCCCCTGGGTCTCCCAAAGCTGTACTCTACCAATATGAACATTCAAGTAATTTTAACTATATCAACATTCCATCTGCCTATGCTTAGATAGTGGAGAAGCTGCAGGAAGAAGGCAGTTCTGGACTCCAGTGACCCACTGTTTAGACGTCCATCGATTATTTAACTTATTTAACTTCTTTTTTGCTCTAATATTTTCATCTCTCTAATGGGAACTCACAAATTTATTCTCATCAACTTATCCACTCTTTCCACAAATCTTTGGTAAGTACCTACCCTGCACAAAGCATTTAAGTATAAATGATATACTGCAGTAAGACACTCTTCAAATAATTATTGAAATGCTAAAAATACTAAAATCAAAATATGAAGAAGGTATTTTGACTTTAAGCTTTAGCACCACTGTATTGTAAGATATTCTAAGTAAGAATCAGCTATTGAAATAAAAATTAGTGTTTCAGAAAATGTTATTTACTCTCTTAAATGACCGTTAAAGACTCTAACTACTTACTTCCTTAAGAAATAATGGAGCATATTATATATACCAAAGAGGAGAGTTTGATTAAAAGATAAGAAAGACAAGTGTCACTAGCTCTGAACTTCTGTTCATATCTTGGCTTAACCTTACTAAAAGGAAGTCAATATTCCCTCTCTTAAAATATTATGAAGTTATACTTAGTAAATATATGAAGCTGGCTGTCCCACTTATAACATTCACTGTTTGGTCTGTTGCCATATTATGGAATAACTAGCAAAGAAGAGAATGATAAGATATATTAATACTGATACTAACATGAAATGAAATAGGACCAAATTTAGGCATCAGACAAATTCACAGCAGTAACTTCTGCCTCAGCGATAGCAAAAATCTTAAAAGATACCAGATGCAGAAGAAAACAGGCTGAGTAAATACTCACTGCTTTCCTTCATGGCTGAGGCTATGAAGCTTTCTCCTTTCACGAGAAGACGTTAGAAACAGTGTTCAGTACAGTAGTGATCACTAAGCACGCCCTTGTGAGAGCGTGAAGCCTGGCCGGCGCAGGCGCCCCGGCCCTCCCGCTTCCTCCCAAACAAAACCAAAAGAAGGGCTGATGCACCTGCAGAGCTCCTGCCGGAACCTCGTGGAGATCCACACACACAGGTTGGACTAGACAATGAAACAGAGACAGTCAGTGGTAGTGTCATCTCAAGAACCGACAACAGTTCCAGATACAAATATTCTAGCCGAGAAGGAAGTGTCACTATTCCAAGGCAGACCCAACAAAGGGCAAAAAATAGAAGGAAGTAATACCTGATAAAGCAGCGGAGGTGATGCTGAAGGAGCATTTGTTTAATTTTTGGAAACAAAACAAATGCAAACCTACCCCGGGTGCCTCTAAACCCTTCCGCTTTTCTGTGTCTCCCTTCATATCCAGATGCAGAGGAAGTGCTGCAGTTACCAGGAAGGAAGTTTTAACCAAGTTGATTATATGTGTGATCACTCATTTCAAAAGTGTCAGAAATGCATTTCCTGTTATAGCAGAGAGAGAAGCACCAGAGTGAGCAATGTTTACCATATATACTTTTTTACTCTTTGACCTAATTTTTAAAAAATTGCAAGATCCTGAAATGATTTAAGATTAAGAGGAGCCAAACAAAAAAATACACATTCCTGAGACATAACAGCGTCTCAGGACTTGTAGAACTATTTTTCTAGCTAGTTCTAAATATAAGAAAAGGCCTGATAACCACGGTATTAGAGAAACAGCCTGGTAGGAAAATTTTTAAGAGCCAGATTACACCCCTTAGACCTGAAAAGCTCATTCGATTATATTTCACCCATGGGAATTCAAAAGGACCCTGTTCTTATGCGGTATTTGAGGGATAGGGAAGAGAAACCTAGTGATCTAGGGGACATTTTCAAAGACAAGGTCTGGTAGCCCACTTCCTTATCTTACTGTGACATTTTTCTATATTTTCAGAGCATTCAAAAAAGGTTCAAAATTTCACTGGCTCAAACTGAAAGTACAGTGTGTGTGTGTGTGTGTGTGTGTGTGTGAGTGTTGGGTGGAGATTTAACTGTGAGCAATGACTGACTACAGACAAAAATACAAAGTTTCCTGGTATCATGGGAAAATCGGGGAGCTGAGCACTGTCACACCATCAGGTAAATAGTCACTGGGAGATGGCTTCTGATTCCCAAGGGAGTAGAGAATCCACAAAAAAGCCACCCTAAATCATTTTTAGAGCTGTTCTGTATCTTCCAGTTGATCTCAAGTCCTTGTAGAACCCCCAAGCACACTCAGACCCTGAATCACAACCCCCTCTCCTCTCTCCCAGGGTCTCTCTTATCAGAGTTCATCCTCCAGTGTGGGTTCTCATGGACTCCAGCTGAGACCCAGGGACCGCAAGTAGGGTGGCACTGGCCTCACAGGTTTCTTGGCGATATGTAATTAGGAGTTCTGTGAATTACTTTGACACCAAGGTAAAGGATTGTTTGCTCTCCTTTCACATAGGCTCGTTGGGGCTCAGCTTTAATAGTTGACATCAGCAGGTGAACCATTTAATTCAAAGACTGCCTCCCAAATTTTTAGAAGGGGTTTCTCAGCTTCCTAAGGTACATTCCTATATAGGAATGCTCCGTTAGGAGGCTAGCGACTTTAGGAGCCTCAGATCTGGCCCTCTTGGTTGGTTCTGAATGAGGGACTTGGGGGCAATATGGTAGGAGCTTGCCAAGCTGTGCTTGTCCAGGGTGTGTGGGAGGACTCATGGGGACAGGTGGGCTGGTAGGGACCTGGAGCTTGGCCTGCTCTGTTCCCCAGGCCATTCAACAGAGTCCTTTGCATCCGTGGCTCAGTCACACCAAGGGCCCAAGTCCCAACCTGACACCACACACACACACACACACACACACACACGTTATTCCAGAAATGCTAGATTCTGGCTCCTGGGGCTCCTTGCCTCTGAAGGGACTACTCAGCTAGGTCTAATTATGCAAAAATTATCTGTTCTATGACTAAACTTGCAAGTACTTCAGCTTTATTGATGGTTTGAGATTACAAGTACCCTGCTCTTCCCCAAGTCCTTATATAGCCACTAAAATCTGTGTGTAGTGAACATTCTAAGGGGAACATAGTGGCCAATGTGTCCTTCCTCTGTGTGGATACTCCCTCCATGCACAGGAATTATTTCCTAGTTGGGGACTCTTTTACCTTCAGATTTCCAAGGTTAGAAAACCCCTGGATCTCATGATCATCCTGTTTCATTACTATGTTTGTTTCTTTTTTCCCTTTCTGTGAATGTCCATGGATCTGTTCCTATGTTTTACATACAGTAGACATATACTATGTTTCGGCTGAAAACAAATAGAATCAAAGAGTCTGACCTCTTGTATTACATCCAGCCATCAGAGGAGCAACAAGATAGTACAGATTAGAGCATAAGGACACCATAAGATGTGTCAATGGTCAATAAACAGATTAAGAATGAGTTATTTGCTATGAGAAAGGCTCTTTGTGATGGCCATCAGAGAGATTATTTATGGTCTAGTTGGAGAGACAGGACATGCGGGTGAAAAGCTAAGATGTACAATACAATAGGCGAAGGGGGTGGGTGTATTATATAGTGCTCATGATATAATACAATAGTTTCCTAGAGGAGGTCGCTTTGGTGGGGGTTTAAAAAAAATTCAAACATGTAGAGGGAGTGCCAGGATTTAAGGCAAGAAGAAGCATACTTTGAGCCAAAAGTATTTGGGGAACAGTGAATGGATCAGTTTACCAAGTGGGGGGTTTAAGAAAGACATAGGAAGACAGGCATGTGATTCCCAAACTTATTCATGTCTTGGCACAAGTGAGCTGTAACAACATTTGTATGGCACATGAGGTGCAATGGACTGAATGTTTCTGTTCCCCCCAAAATCACATATTGAAATCCTAAGCCCCAGCATAGTGGTACAGGAGTGGTACCTTTGGGAGAGAGTCAGCCCATGAGTGTGGACCTCTCACGAGTGAGACTCATGCCTTTATTAATGGGACCCCAGAGAGTTCTCTCAACTGTCTTTCTGCCATGTGAGGACACAGTGGGAATATGGCAACGTGGAACTGGGCCCTCAGTAGAACCTGCCTGCACTGACATCCTGATCTTGGACTTCCAGCCTCCTAAACTGTGAGAAATAAGTTTATTTTGTTTATAAGCCACCCAGTCTGTGGTACTTAATTATAGCAGCCCAAATGGACTGACACTGGTGTAAAGTGAGGGAGCTCCTCAAAGCGTGAGGCAATGCTTCTGTCCCCAAAGGCTCCCAGCCTTCTAGGGCACATGGTTCAAAATCCCGTTACTAGTTATTGTTCCTGGGGTGGGGGTAGTAGCTATCTGATTCAGACATGAGGTTATTACTCAGCATGAAGAAGCATCCTTTTCATATTTCTAGAACCCATCTTTTCATATTTCTTAGATAAGCGTCAGATGGCTTCTATGATGTAAATAAAAATGCAAGAAGGTGTTTCAACCTAATCTAACAATCTGCTTCACCTTCCTACCTTGCTTTGTTGTCTGGCCCAAATGCCTGTCTTTATGAAGCTTTTTGGTCTGTCTCTGGTGGGATGCAAGAGAAGCCTCCTGGTACTGTGGAAGTGCCAACAGTCCTAAGACCTGGGTTTATTCCTGCTCATTCTCTGGGCCTAACATGCTAATCCATCTTTCTCAGCTTCCTGGTCTACCAAAGGGTACCAGCCACCCTCCTAACTTATAGCAATTTGCTATAAATCTTCAATTTTCAAAGGAACATAGACTACCTAACTGTGCTAGGCAAGGCATTGCGTGGGTCCCTCTAGAGGACATGCCACGGCAGGCATCACAAACAACACGACAGGGAGGAAGGAGAGGCGTGTCAGCTGTGTGACTTTCACAGAGAGAGGAGGCCTTCCTCAGGAGCCGCTGGGTTCCCCGCCTCTCAGGTCAGAATGGTGGTGCTCAGCCAATCACCGGGAGGCGGAAGAGCATGATGTGGGTGTTTAAGCTCATCAGGATTTTCCCCACGGAGTTCCTGGCTGGCGGGCAAGGGTGAGCACTAGAGCAAAATGTCCGGGCCCTGACAGTGAGGCAGAGGGGTGCTGCGGAGGACTGCAGGGGGGTTTGTCACAGCCTCAGGGCCATCAGGGAGGTAGGCAATTATCACGCCCCGTGGGGAGAGGGAGCACTTTGGCTTCAGAGAGAGTGAGCTGCAGGAAATGAGTCCCAGTCAACACAGTCCCATCCAGGGGTCTGCAGGGCTTCTCATGCTTTCTCCATCCTTATCAGATATTGGCCACCAAGCGCACTTTTCTCAATTGCCTTGTTTTGCTAAGCTTTACTTATACAGCTTGGTGAGCATGAATTTCTAGAAAAGATTTCTCTCTAAATTGATTTTTTAAATTCCAAACCCCTTAGCATGATACATCAGAGCCTTTCTGATCTGTCCCTCAGGGTCTCTCCTTAACTCTCTGACTCACCTTCCGGATCACCTCCACATTTGCATGAACCTGCATTCTGCTCCCCCACCTCTGTGCCTCCCCAGGCTGTTTCCTCTGTCCCACCCCCTCCCTGTCCCCCTCTCATTCCCTCATCCCCTCAGCCATTGACAGACTCCTTCAACATTCAGTCTGTCACCTCCTCAGGGCTGGGGGGTGGGGGTCGGGACAGTGCTTTCTGGTTTAGGAAAGTTTAGCATTCAGTCTGTTACCTCCTGGGTGGGTGGGGGGTACTTTTTGGTTTAGGAAAGCACTGGGTTAGGGAAGTTTCCCTCTGTCAGTAACCAGACTGCCACCACTGCCAAGAACAAACCCTTCCCAGCACTTTCTTTTGTCTACATTGTTCCAAGCACTTTCATACATTAATTCATTTAGTCCTCATGCTAGCCAAGGAGAGAGGGGCACTACTATTATTCCCATTTACGGATGACGAAAGTGAGGCCCAGAGATGTTAAGTGGCAGTTGTTATAGCATTTTTCCCAGGGTAGGATAGCTGTTTAAGTGGCTGTCCCCTCCACCAGACTGTGGAAGCCTGGCCACTCCCCTGAAACCCCCATCTCTCCGTCCTTCCTTTTCTTTTGAAATAGTATTTACTGGCTTGAGCAGGGAGTGGCTTCTGGGTTGCTGATCATATTCTGTTTCTTGATGAGGCGCTGGCGGCATGGTGTGACTGGTTTGGGAACACCCATCAGGCTGTCCATGTGATGGTCACTTTTCTGTATGTGTGTTATACATCCATACAAGCTCAAAAAATAGTATTTACCTCAAGTTATGTTTACTTGAAAATGGCTAAAATTTAAGCCGCTTCACATACTTTCTTAATTAGGCAGGTTTTTTTTTTTTCTCTACATTCTTGGCAGATTTCTTCTTTCCATGTGAATCTTGATGTTTCAGGTGGAGGACAGTGTTAGACCATCGTGTCTGCCTTTGCCCGGATG